TGTTCTTTGTGTGTGTGTGTGTGTGTGAAATACTTGCTGCCTTTGCTTGAGCTGTTCGACATTTATCTTCTTTAATACATCTTCCATCTGATGTTATCAAGGTACCTAAGCACTTAAACAGATCAACTTGCATGAGGTTCGTCCCATTTACTTTGATGCTGCATTTCAGAGGGTCAGTTTTCTTTGTTGTAATTGCCATTTCTTATGTTTTTTTTTTTTTTTTTTTTTTTTTTTTGCTGTTCAAACGAAAACCCCCCCCCCCCCCCCCCCTTTTTTTTTTTTTTTAACTGTCTATGACTATATTATCCACAATTTCTTGTAGCTGTGGTTCATTTTCGGCGATCAAAACAAATTGTTAGCGTATCACAGGTTGTTAACAATATGCACACCAATCTATTTTCCTGGCATACCATGTGTGAATCTAATTATTATTTCACTGCACAAACTGAATAGTACACATCCCTCTCTAAAGCCTTATTGCCTGTTTTGAAAAATTCCAACTTGGTTGTCAGTCCTTATGGCTACTTCTTGTTATAAGTATGTGAGTTTTTTTAAATTACAAAATCTTTACCATCAATGTTTAAAGTTTCCAAAATTCTAACAATTGATTCATGTTTTATTTTATAAAATGCTTTAGTATAAACAACACACACACACAACACACAAACAAACACACACACACACACACACACACACAAAAACAGTTAGTTAGTTAGTTAGTTGATATCCTTTTCAGGACGTTGCAGAACCAACCATAGCATTTTTTGGCTGTTGTGGTTTTTCTAGGCAAGTTTACATCCAGTAGTTTGCTATTGCTTTCTGGGCTTCACGATACCACTGTTGAAACCAAAGCAAGGCCTGCAGCTGGGATCGAACCCGGCACCCCGGCATCATAAAGCGAGTTCACAACGTATAAGCCACTGACGCCGACACAATAACAAATCTCTTTTAATTTCAGTACGGAATTTTAGCACCACTTTTGCCATCCAATGCATTTAATGGGCTTCTTCTCAGACGCCCACTTCTTGAAACTTTTTGCAACCATTTTCTTCTTAATTTTCTTTTTCTAAAGCAGCCTTGACGGTGTAGGTAGAGTCGCAAAATCAAGACATAAGGATATTTTCCTAATATAGCTGATGCGAAATGATTGGTATGAATGAGAACTGCAGTCTGGTACACAAGACATTTTCCTGTTTAACTAGATACACTGTCGCGCAGTGATCGCAAACAGATGCAACCTCCGAACATCCTTCTCCTCCCCCTCCCCAGCACAACAAACATAGAAGGCGTACAACACACATATTGATCTAGCAATTAAGGGTATAATATCTGACACAAAGTTGTGCTATTTTCTGAAACTCTGTTTGTTCTCTTTCGTAATTTGGAATAATTATAACGGGAGTCGGTAAAACATCCCTCCATTGACTGACTTGTAATGATTTTCTGCACGGCACGGGTGCGAATAGACATTCAGTGGTTAGTAGAAGAGCCGGTTTAACTCTTTCAGAGCCACTCATTTGTTATTTTAAAATTTTTTTCTATTCCAATCCTTTGCTATTTTAACATTTATATTCTAATCATTTGTTACCTTAACGCTTCTATTCCAATAATTTGTTAACTTCATTACTTCTACTTCCAGTCATTAATTATTTTAAACATCCATTCCAATCAGATTTACTTAACATTTCTGTACCAATCATTTTTATTTCAAACCATCTATTCCAGTCACGTTACTTTAACCAAGCAACCAAGCTATTTTATTTATTTTTTGACATTACCCTTCTACTCCAGTCACTTGTTACTTTAATTCCCCTATTCCACGATTTGTTACTTTGAACTTTATGTTTTCTATTGTTAAAGGCCTAATTAAATCGGATGCACTGGGTCAAACCATAAGTGCTAACTGCCGTTCTAAGCTAAAAGAAGAAGAAGAAGAAGAAGGGGCAGAAGAAGAAGAAGAAGAAGAAGAGAAGAAGAAGAGAAAGAAGAAGAAGAAGAAGAAGAAGAAGAAGAAGAAGAAGAAGAAGAAGAAGAAGAAGAAGAAGAAGAAGAAGAAGAAGAAGAAGAAGGAGCAGAAAAAGAAGAAGAAGAAGAAGAAGAAGAGAAAGAAGAAGAAGAAGAAGAAGAAGAAGAAGAAGAAGAAGAAGAAGAGAAGAAGAAGAAGAAGAAGAAGAAGAAGAAGAAGAAGAAGAAGAAGAAGAAGAAGAAGAAGAAGAAGAAGAAGAAGAAGAAGAAGAAGAAAGAAGAGAAGAAGGAGAAGAAGAAGAAGAAGAAGAAGAAGAAGAAGAAGAAGAAGAAAGAAGAAGAAGAAGAAGAAGAAGAAGAAGAAGAAGAAGAAGAAGAAGAAGAAGAAGAAGAAGAAGAAGAAGAAGAAGAAGAAGAAGAAGAAGAAGAAGAAGAAGAAGAAGAGAAGAAGAAGAAGAAGAAGCAAGGAGCAGAAAAAGAAGAAGAAGAAGAAGAAGAAGAGAAGAAGAAGAAGAAGAAGAAGAAGAAGAAGAAGAAGAAGAAGAAGAAGAAGAAGAAGAAGAAGAAGAAGAAGAAGAAGAAGAAGAAGAAGAAGAAGAAGAAGAAGAAGAAGAAGAAGAAGAAGAAGAAGAAGAAGAAGAAGAAGAAGAAGGAGCAGAAAAAGAAGAAGAAGAAGAAGAAGAAGAAGAAGAAGAAGAAGAAGAAGAAGAAGAAGAAGAAGAAGAAGAAGAAGAAGAAGAAGAAGAAAGAAAATGAAGAAGGAAGAGAAGAAGGAAGAGAAGAAGAAGAGCAGCCACATCAGTAGGAGGAGGAGACGAAGAATGAGGAAGATGAAACGACGAAGGAGAAGGAAGAAGAGGAAGCAGAGAAGAAGAATCGGAAGGAATTAATAGTAGGAGAAGACATCTAGAAAAAGGGGTGAGCAATAACAGTAGATTAGTAGGTTCGTGACAGTTTGAAGTCACCGTCAATACCATGAGCACTTTTACACATATGGATCGCATATAACCACGAACCGTCACTTATGCTTAAATAGTCACATGCCCTGATTCTAAAACTGACACACATGTGCATGAGGTTGTCAAGCCTGGGGGGTCATTTTACACATTAGACAAATAAATAAATGTCTATTGATTGGCACTCATAAATAGGATAGAGGCAGCTGTAGGCAATAGGACGAAGGGAAATAGTTTGAGTAAATGCTTAAAAGAAAATATTTCGAGCTAATGCGTTGTTGCTTTGGATTCAATGAGAGGAAAGTCATGGATGGAACTAGCTGAAGATACTATCGGGGCGGCTGCCTCAATCAAACAAATACACGGGAGCGGGGGAGGGGGTGGAGGACCCGAACACCCACAACAGCAGTTGCCATCAGGTCATCATCACATTAGGTAGAGAAGGTAGGGAATGGCATGGCAACTGTATAACCACTGATAGATGAAAACTCTGGACTTGGTGATGGCTAAGTTGGGTGTAAGATCTGGTTGGGGTCTGTCAGCTAGAATAAAGGGACAAATTGCCCCCCCCCCCCCCCCCCCAAAAAAAAATTCACTTTTTTCCCCATCTACAACTTCATGCATGAGGATGGGGAGGTGGAGGCAGTCACTGTAGTTCTGAATTAACTGATTCTGAGTTGGTACTGCGGAAGGTTCAAAAAGCACACATGTTGCTTATGGGATACCAAGCATCAGCTAGTCATCATTGCAGAGAATCACGTGGATATACTGTCCGGAATATGCAGGAGTGCGAGGGGATGAAAGAGCGGATTTTCTGGCCACAAAAGCAAAAGCAACGGGAACACGTGGACTGGACAACATAGATATTCTGAACTACATATATGAAGGAATGTTGATAGAAGACACGAGATTAACTGCAATAACTTGTGTAAGAATGTGTGAACGAGCAATTAGGAGTAGATACGGCAAGGACAGGCAAATGAGAGGAAAAGAACGACGTGTGTATAATTAGTGTGCTACGGGAATAGTAGAATCTACATTCTCAGCATACGAGTCGCAGCCTCTTTGGGGGTCGAACGACCCTTTCACATTGGTCGTATAAGACCATCGAAAAATACATTTTCACTGACTGGAGTTTTGAAATAGGGAAACAAATAACGTTATGGTTGGAGGGTCACTACAACATGAGGAACTGTATTAAAGTGTCGCAGCAACTCGAAGGTTGAGAACCAGTGATCAACACCTTGAGGCATTTACTGCGGGAGACAGAGCATCTGTTGGTATGCCCGGTGTACTATGATGTCGATTCTGAAATCAGTAGTCAGTAATTCAATGAGAACCTCAATAAATTATATCTTCTTTTTCAACTGGACAGAAAAGAAGCTTCGAAATATCACCTTTTAGGAAAGAAAAAGAATTGACATTGATTGATTTACTGGCTGAGGGAAGAGGATGGCTGAGGGAAGAGGCTGGTCGAACGGTTAGAACGCTAGGCTCAAAAACGGGAGACACGGTTTCGAATCCTCGGTAAGGGTGGGGAATTTTTTTTTTTTTTTCGGCAGCAAAATAAAATTCTCACCTGGCGACTGTGCCACGCAGCCGTGCAGCCGTAAATCCTAAGACTCAAAGACCTCCTTGCCTACACTACAAAATTAGTATAATAAAGCCAGTAATTGGCAGTTTGGCTGATTGATTGGCTGACAGGTTTCTGCCAGGGCAGGCACATTTTTTAAACCACAGAATACTGCCAACTCTGATCGCTACGCGGAAACGTTACGGAAACTACGAGCAATATTGTTGTGTGTTTGTCCTGGAAAACACGCAGTTCTTCAACATAACAATGTTCACATCCACACACGAGTAGACAGACAACGGCAGCATTGAAGCGTCTCATCTTAGACGACATTTGGCCGCTTCCAGCACATTGTCCATCTATTCCCAAAGCTCAAACATGGTGCAGTGAATTGATCCTCTCGTCCTTGAGCACCCTTATATTACTACTGTTCTGTTTGTATACTAACGAAGGTCTTGTTATCTTCCCAGCAATGTTAATATATAGTGCATTTCTTTCTATTTCAGGACCACCAGTCGTTTGGAGGAACTCCTTTGGCCATGTTGGCAGCACAGTGCAGCAAGATCCCCAGTAAACCACCCCCAGTCCTGGCAGAAGGAACTACTGGGAAATCATTCATGCCTTGGAAGAAGCATTTCCAGAACTCTCCTTCTCCGGGACCCGCTCATCACCACCACATATCATCACAACATGTAGGGGCAATAAGTCACCCTCATTTCCCGATGTCCAACAGTTTATCGTACCCTCGCGCCACAATCGTCTCATCCAGCCCACACACTTCATATGCAAACGATCTGTTTTACACCGGACCATGCTCCGCCTCTCACGCCCCAAGCTCAAACATCGGATTTCTCACAAACGACTTTGATACACAAGATGCATGGCGAAAACGGAATATGTAATCCCGGTTTTGGATCAGTGTATTCTAGAGTGCCATCGGTTTCTGGGGCCTATGAGACTTCGTGGCCCTTTTCCAACATTCCTACAACACACCCTGGTGCTACTCAAGGACTTAAGCATAACGACATGACCCATGCAGTTAGCGGTGGTGGGGCGCCTTGGTGGGACGTCCACCCGGCTGGGAATATGCATACATCAGGGAGTAATTGGTTGACTGATTCATCGACATTACATGGACAAATTGCAGCTTCATACCCGGGCCCGGACTACCATATAGGCCACCCGCTTGCCACCAACCCCGCGCTGTTGTCTTCGTCCCAGCATTTACTCCAAGACACTTATAAATCTATGCTACAACCCTCGCAGCAAGACATTGCCCTCAATAACAATTCGGTCTCGCCGTTTCTGCCTCGGCCGCCTCTTCCAGGTTTGCCGAGTTCCAGAAATTCTCGTCGCTACACAGGAAGAGCGACCTGCGACTGTCCCAACTGTCATGAGATTGACAGATTAGGTGGGTACTGTCTGTGTCACTATCTGATTGCGATAACATTTATAGATTAGCTAAACTATAATAAGAAGTGTCTGTCTGAACTGTCATGTGATTGGGATGTTAGGTGGGTACCGTTTGTCTCACTGTCTGAACTGCTAAAACAGACAGATTATATTGGTACTGTGTACTGTCTGTCTGAACTCTCATACGATTGATAGATTTGTTGGTTTAGTCTATCTGAGCTGTCATGAGATTGACAGATTGTGCGGATACTGTCAGTCTCACTGACTGAACGGTCATGGGATTGAGATATTATGCGAATACTGTCTGTCTCACAGATTATGCGGGTTATTTCTGTCTGACTGTCTGAACTGACAGATTAGCTAGATACTCTGTGTCTCTGTGCCCAATTTCTAGATTTGAAGTTGTCACCATCTATATTCAAGTTCCGGTTACATATTTCTCACTATACATTTTCTAGTTTTTAAGTTCAAATTTGAAGGTTTTATGTTCGAATTCCCTGTCACACCCTGAACTTAACGGTGCAGTCCAGAAAACGAACCCACGGCCTTCAGAGCGTGAGACAAACGGCTTGGCCACTTCTTGGGAGCCAGCTGATTTCAAATTCAGATAATAGGTATTGCTGCTTCCTTCTTCTTCGTCTTCTGTTCTTGACTCCAGGACGCCTCGCGGTGTCAGGGCAGGAATAGATCTCTGGGACGGGCCCTTTTTTTTTCTTTGAATAGAGTACTTTTCGGTGTCTCTGATATTCTGCGGTCTATATTCTGCGTGGTCTACCTATGCCTCTGTTACCGCTGTATCTGTTTAACATTGCTCTCTATAATGCCCAGTCTGACACCAATCTTGTTACCTGGCCGAAACATTCGATTGTTGTCTAACTGTAAAGTTAAGAATTAGTTCAGTGCCGACTCTCCTCCTTATATATCACTGTTCCTAAATCGATCTTTCCTTGTTATGCTTATCATAGTGCTTCTCCAAATCTCACACGTCAAGACAACATAACGTACATCCGAGAAAGGATAGAGAAAGCAACATACCATGTACAAAGGCTAATTAATAAGATGTTGGTGAAAATAGCATCCGCTTGAAAAACAAACAAAGAAACTTATTTCTGTCATGGCAAATAATTTTCAGTACTTTTCTGTTTACAAATCAGGACCATACATTTTATGTTGGCGGCGTCCCAGGCTTAGGCGTTGCTAGTCCGACTCGTAACTCCAACGTACCGCGATCGAAACCCACTGCTGGCTGTGTGGATTTTTATCCTGGTATAGGGCGTCGCAGGTCGACAACCCTAAAAATGGGCACTAGTATGTATGCCCTGGGAAAGTAAAAACGATCGGTGTAATGCTGACCACATTACCCACCTAGTGCCGATTGGTCTGTAAAAATATGGGTGCTCTTTCCATATGCCTAATGCGCCATTGAGGTTTGAGGTTTTAAACAACGGATCAACATCATGGCACACGGGTCGTAACTTATAAGTGCTCCGTTCTTCTTATAACTCAAGTAGAGTCCGCAGAATCGCAGCACAGTGCACAGACTCTGTAGCACTGGCGAGGATCCTGAAATACTTTGAGTATATTTTGAACTCTAAATTTTGCCCGGGTATCGCCGTTAGGCTACTCTTTTTGATTTCCGATTGCCAAGGGATTTTTGTACTAGCGCAACAATCCACACGGACGTCCGATATCACTACCCAGAGACCAAGAGGAATTACTAGAAGTCTCAGTCCAGGTGAAAAAATCACAGCCCTTACCCGGAACCTCTAGCACTCGAGGAGGCGGACACCATGCCTCTAGACCAGGCAGCTCCCGATGCGCCTAAAAGCGTGAAAGGGGATCTTTACTTTTATTGTAAACTTACCAACAGAATCTTCAGCAGTTAGAGATTCAATTGCGACGGTACTGGTAGCAGTGCTGAGTATCGCCCAGATAGTCTGGCCACTCCTGGCTGCACCATTCTCTCCAGACAATGATGATCTATTTTGGGCTATTTAACCGGCGGCCCGCGGGTCAAATCGGGCCCGCAAAGCCCTATTAAGTGGTCCGCGGATCACTGCTAGTTGTATTGCATTTAAGGTCTTTCTATGCTGTGACGATCCTAATTTTGGAACATTTTGGCCCCTGAGTCAACTTAGTTGAATAACCCTGAATCTATGTATTCACTGGCCCCCAAAGGGCCTAGACAGCAAGAGAAATGAATACTAACTCACACAGCGCATTAGAAAAATAATACAGACGATCTATATTCTCCCTCCAAAACTTCATCGAGTTAACAGAGAAAAACCAGAGAAGAAGAAGATAGTTGTTTGAAGTGTTTGCAAGTTAAACTGAATTTAAATGTTTATGCAATTGTTTTAACACAGCTGCTTTTATGAGTTGTTTAAAATACGCCTGTGGCAAAATGTCTTCATCTTTTTCAAGCAACTATCTCCGCGATCCATAATCTTCTTTGACAGTGAAGTATATGTAATCATTTATGTGGCAGATCTTTAGCTTCTGATGTATCAGAACCCGTAGCAAATGGCTTACAATTTGTACTGAAGGGCTTTAAATGGTACTCGGGGAAAACCATTTTAGGGAAGTTCAAGAAATTAATAGCGTTTTTCTTTGAGAGAAAATGATGGGGGGGGGGGGGGGGGGTATGTGCATTTTTCATTCAGTTGCTTCACTCTCATAAAAGGTTTGTATTTACTAGCAGTTTCTGTGTAATTGTTCTATAAAGGGTTATTTATGTTAGGATTCATTGTTGTTGTTCTTGTTGGTGGTGGTGGCGGTGATTTTGTTGACTTCATTGCCGTTAATAGGATAAGTAAATTACTCTTTTCTCCCCATTGATGAGGCATATGACGCTGTACTTACATTTATTTGGACCAATCAGTATTCGTGGGGTGATGTCGGCACCTCGTCGGCCATTTTAGCTTCCAGTGATCACAGTGGGAGTTCCGAGATCGCATTGTGGGGAAGGCGAAGGGGTAGAGAGTAGACCCACTGCCTTCCCAACAAGCATGTGGAAGAGTCGACATATTAGGGGCTTCCTTCGAAGCTGGAGTGCATCCGTATGAGGGAAAAAGAAACAGTGAGCCTGATTTGTGAAAGATTTTTTTAAACACAATTTTGATCATGTCATGTATTTCGTTTTTTAGATGTGTTCTGCATACAAAGTACAGTGAGACTTTGTGAACACCATATAAGTATGTGTGTGTGCCTGCGTGTGTGTGTGCGCGTGTGTGTGTGTGTGCGTGCGTGTGTACCTGCGTGTGCGTGCGTGTGTTTGTGTGTGCGTGCGTGTGTGTATGTGTGTGTGTGTGTGTGTGTGTGTGTGTGTGTAGAGGTAGCTAACAAAATGTTAAAACAGTAATCACCAAGCAGTGAAATATATCTACATGTACGATATTTGATTTTTTTTTTTTAAACATTGGCGACTGTTTCGCTCATTGGCTGGCCAGTAGACGAGTTCGTCGTCAGTCGGGACAGTATTTGGATCTGACACCTTTGATGGCATCAGCACTGGAGGAGTCCTTTTCAGGTGGCGAGCAAAGTTAAACCATTTTATGTGACGCAAATAACCTAGTCACAATTATAACTAAAAACTCCCACTTCGGAGATGCGTTTAAACGTGACAATTTTTTTAGGGGGGGGGGGGGGGGGGGGTCGCAAAACAAGGCAAGTCACTTAATTTGAAAACGCTACGGTAGCAATGTGTTACATGGCGTTTTTAAAATGACATAATGTATAAACATTTTGACATAACACTACCATAGCCAAGGAAGCAGGGCTTGTTGTGTGCAAAGTCTGCCGGATTTTCCCTTTGTGCACCTCACACACGGTGACAAACTTGAACTGAGCTTAAAGAACATCCGCAGATTTGAAATATCATTTCAAAATGGTTTTCCGTTCATCGAAAGACAGATTGACTGCGACGCCTAGCGGCATAAGCAGATATTGACAAAAGCTCCCAGTTAGTCGACTTTTACGACATGCTTTTGGGTAGTCAGTAGGTCTGTTCTTGTTTTCCCTATAAACAGGGCCCCGGAAGACGTAATGATGACGCTTTTAAACAAATAGCCTCAATGAAAATATTTATGCATTTCCCCGGTGATCGATTACTATGCGTAATTTTTTTTGGCTACCTCTGTAAATAATTTTTGAAGAGTTTACGTAAGTTTTCTCGCTTCCACGCCCAACCCCCCCCCCCCAAACCCAACACCCTTTTTACCAACGTATAGAGGTTCTCTTGTTATGTATTTGATTATACGCTTCATATTATTTTGAACATATTATGTTTATTTGCCACATTGGCACACAATAATAAAAGTAATTATAACCAGAACTATTTTTGATATTTATTGCACACTTAAACAAGGACTAAGCCTCCTGTGCCTCAGCCTCTAGAAAATTATTCCTCTAATATACCTCTATTATATATATATTATATTGTATGGATATATATAATATATATATATATATATATATATATATATATATATATATATACACATAGATACATACATACGTACACATACACATGAGAGCCGCTATGGTTTAGAAGTTGAACGTTCGCCTGCGGATCGGAAGACCTGAGTTCGGGTCTTCACAAAGCCGGGCTTCTTTTTTTTTTCAGAAATGACTTTAGCTCCCAGGTCGACCCAGCCTTGAGTGGGTATCGGGGATAGTCCTGGGAAGTAAAGGTGGTCGGAGTGATGTTGACCACATTCCCTACAGTGTGCCGATTGGTCTATAATTTTTAGGTCTAGACCTATATGTCTAATACATGTAAGGCGGGAAAATGGGACCTGTGTGTGTGTGTGTGTGTGTGTATGTGTGTGTGTGTGTGATGTGCGTGTGTTTTTCGCCTCTTCCCTCCAAATGTCCTTTTTTCACAAGCTATTCCGTCCTCCTCTTCTCAAGGCATGCCCATCTAATGTTGTTTGCCAATTTTATGTGGCGAAGTATTCAAGCAAGCATCTTTATGACATCTTCAGGTCCCGCGGGAGAGCATCTTAAGAAGCGAAACATCCACTCGTGCCACATCCCTGGCTGTGGCAAAGTCTACAACAAGACATCACATCTGAAAGCCCACCTCAGGTGGCACACTGGCGAGCGGCCGTTTGTTTGCAACTGGCTCTTCTGTGCCAAAAGGTAACTTCACATTTCTTGCAGACGCATTTGCGTCACTGGTAACTTTAAAAACTGTAACGGAGTCGGTATCACAGCCCGCGCCAAACAGTTTACAATTTGGGTTCTTTATTAATACCCTACCCCAGATGACGTCACAGGACAGTTCAACATTTTAGAGAGTAGTAAGACTGGGTTTTCCGGCTTTCTGATGCTTTTAACGACCCCAAAACATCTAGAACTGGCTCTAACCCCAACCCACCTACGTCCCACGAAAGAGTGCAGCCTAGGTCCCACGACTGCATACAGCCTATGTAACATGAAATATTAGACTGTCCGGTGACCAGTGGATTTCCCATCTTTGGTGTAGGATATTAATAAAGCACTACAGTTGTACCAAATGGCAAACACTGTGGGTGTCACAAAGACGCACAAACATTGGACTACAGGTTACGTCATAATCGTTTTGTGGTGCCCCAATATAACTGTACTGTATATATGACTAATCACCATGGGCTGTGAGTCCTCTGACCTCTCATAGCGCAAACAACACTATCGTCTGGAAAGATGGAAATCCAATCAAATCCACCATATATGGCTATACGACTGAACCGGGTGTGCGGGATTTATACCTGTTTGATTCTCATTCTTGAGATCTTAATCCTATAGACTGCAGTCCAAGGGGGGATCAGCTTTACAACAACAAAACTGTAACAGAGGTGTTTTAACAAAGCAGGTCGAGTGATGGTGTCATGCTGACTAAGCTACACGTGAGCTCTTCAATACTGCCTAGATTTTGGGCTACGGAGACGAACTTCAACCCTGGCCTTAACGTGAGCTTGTCTTCCTAGTCACTTACTATCGCCATGGGCTGGGATTTGAACGCCTTCCTATAGCACGACGGGAAACTGTTGCCTGGAAAGAAATAGAGGTTGGTGCCAACAAGTCACCTCTATATCGGTTGTTAGTTAAGTTATTTTGGGTATCCTTTACAGGACATTGGAGAACCAACCCCAGCATTTTGTGGTTGTTGTGTTGTTTTTTTAGGTAAATTTACGTCCAGTATTTTGCCATTGCTTTCTGGACGGTCGGCTTCTCGATACCACTGTCGAAACCAACGCAAGGCGCAAGGCCCGCAGCTGGGATCTAACCGCACCCCGTCATTACGAAGCTCTTTCGCACAGATGTTCGTTTTAGCTTTATTTTTTTTTTTTAAATAGAATGATCTATGTCACTGAGAGCTTTCAAAATTGTAATGATAATATTAAATAAGAATTATCACATATGCATTTTTTAGCTTAAAAATTTTCAAAAGTTTAAAGTCGAAAGGATCAGATTCATTTCAACGAGTTTTATCTTGTATGGCTCGGCCTGATGCCGTAGAACGGCTAGCTGCCTATCGTGACTGCCGCTCAAAACACGAACAGTGTTCTGAACACCGTAGAGGTCAGTCCTTAATGGCCGCCCGTCTATCGCAGCTACACCACACAACATCCATCGAGTTGTTGAGGAACGAAGTGTCTGGACCCTGCCTTTACTAATGGACAATATGGAATACAGTTCCTCCAGTGTTACCCAACGGTCAGCACAGAATGATATCATCAACTCGATGAATGTTGTGGGGGAGTGACTGCAGTAGACGGGTGGTCGGTTCACTTTGCGTCAGCCAATAAGCATTGGCCTACTTCAGCTTCATCATAACAATGTACCTAGCACCGGACAGTGCTAACATCCACTGTTGAATCTCTATAAACATTCTTCAAACGTTCTTAAATGTGAACTGGAATCTCGCCTTGCGCATTGAAAATTCTTTGACATTACATTGTTTCAGCCTAACATTTTTTGGTAGCCATTTATGAACCGTTACGCTATTACCACCTGTTATGGAAACAGGGTGGTAATGCTATACGATATAGAAGAATGTTTGAGGAAACCTGCTAAACTTACAAATTCCACACGGATGCAGTATTTATACAGATTTTTTTTTTTTTATTGGGGAGGGGGCGTTACCTTTATGACCGTCCCTCGTATTTCAGTTCGTTCTGCTTAAACAAAAACAAAAACAAAAAATATGTAACCACATCGGAAATAGAAAGTTATTTGTAATATTAAATTATTACTTCCTCTGGAAGAAAACAAAAAGATAACTCTCAAATGTTATCCTCCCCAGGTTCACGCGATCAGATGAACTTCAGCGGCATCTAAGGACCCACACCGGGGAGAAAAGATTTGCCTGCCCTAAATGTAACAAAAGGTACCCTCACTTTTCTTACAATCCCTAAAAGACAAACTGGTAGCTTGGTGGGGATCACACTGGCTGGTCTACACACTGCAGTGGCCAGGAGTTCTTGTCTTTTTCACGTTCACCAGCTATAACAGAAAATCCTGGTTGTTAGCCAACTTCTGGACTTCTGGCATTGTTCTCAGACTTGAGTTTTTCGCGTACATTCGTTTAACGGATCTGACATATTTGTGTGCAGACTGTTAGTTTCTAGCCTCTAATGTGCTTTTAGTCCATGCTGCGTGGCGTTTGTAGTGGAGTCTATCCACAACCTCCTGTCTCGTCTACATTCGATCAAAACTGACATGATCTTCCATGCCATGATGCCAAACTGTTTCTCGGTTTTCCTCTATCTTTTTTCCTTCCAGTTTTTTTTTTCACCGTCACAGTGTTTATTGATTTTTTTCAACGGATCAACATCCTGGCACACGAGTGCAACCCCTAAGTGCTCCGTTCTACTTCTAATTCAAGCCCGAGTATGAAGAATCACAGCGCAGTGCAGGAACTCCGTTGCACTGGCGGAGATCCTGAAATACTTTAGGTAGATTTTTATCTCCAAATTTTGCCCGGCCAACGCCGTCATGTAAATCTTTTCGATTTCTAACTGTAAAGGGATTTTTTTTTTACGTGCGCAACAATACACAGGGGCGTCCGATCTTACTACCCAGAGACCATGGGAAATAAGTAGAAGTACGCGTGAAAAAGAAAAAAAAAAGCCTTCACCAGGGCTTGAACCCAGGACACCATACCTGGAGACCACTCAGTGAACCCCAGTGTTCTCCCTTTCCTGGCATGAGAAAACTCTAGGCTCTCAACCAGATGCGTTCCGACTTTAAAGGAAACATTGACGCTTTTCACGTTGGCTAAGTACACGGTATGGAACCTGTTTCCTGGAAGATCGCCAAGAGGTGTAGACAGGTACTGACCAGTAGGAGCCTCGGTCCCAGTGGACCAGTGATTCTCAACCTTCCTAAAGCCGCGACCCTTTAATACAGTTCCTTATGCTGGGGCGACACCCAACCGTAAACGTATTATCTTTGCTGCTTCATAACGTCTTTGTAATACAGGGGTGCCGGGTTCGATCCCAACTGCAGGCCTTGCATTGGTTTCGACAGTGGTACCGAGAAGCCGATCGTTCAGGAAGCAGTGGCAAATTACTGGAAGTTAATTTGTCTAGAAAACCCACAACAGCCAAAAATGCTGGGGTTGGTTCTGTAATGTCCTGTAAAGGAGACGCAACTAACTTCACTTCATACTTCAGTGAATATGTGCTTTCCGGTGGTCTTTCGACCCATATGAAAGGGTCGCTTGATCCACAGAAGGGTCGTGACCCATAGGTTGGGAACCGCCACGGTAGTCGAATACGTTTGGCACAGCCCCCTGCATCCCCATGCCAATACAATATTTCATTTTACTTAAATATATATATATAAAAAGAAAGAAACGTGTATTGTGTTTGCTTCTGAAATGCATGCACTGTTGTAGTTTACAGCTAGGTTGTGATAGCTTCACCTTTTGATCCAACCCATCCGAATTCAGCAAATTCTTGATTAGTCGTTACGACATGCTTGTTAAGGAATGGGAGGTCTATTATTTCTTTCTCCGCAAACAAAGCCCCGAAACCTAAACAAAGAATTCCTCTAGTCTACAAATATTGACATCATTGTTGATGATACAGTGGTTGTGCAATGCGTTGTAACTCCCCTGTTTTAACCTTTACTAAATTTTGACACATAACCTGTTTTATTTTATCCTTTATCCATCTCCTACAAAAAGCCTAGGCCCTCGACCTACTCACGCAAAGTGGTCCTAGCCATGCCTGTCTGTAGCGTACAGCTCAGCCCACGTCCTCCCTCAAAAAAATTGTCCTCGCCTTATTCTCCAGTTCTCTCTTTTCTGGTTTATCTATTATCATTTGACCCGTTTTGCCCTGAATCCTCTACAAGAGCACAGTCCTTAGACCAAATCAAGCCAAGTCATCCTCTCATTGACTATATACAGTCCGACAATTAAAACAAAATCTTCATCCACGACAAAAAGCAAATGTTCCAAAAAGGAACCATTCATCTATAATCTGACAAAATTGTAACTCCTCCTGATCAAAATACGACAAGTAACCCACCATTTTGTTAAGCTAGCAAAAGTGACATCGTAACGTATGCAGCATGGAGTCGAGTGTCAACATTAATTATGTTTGAGACTCTGAAAGATGAATTGATAAGATAAGTTTATGAGAATTTTATCAAATTCAACATCATATTCATCTGCCGTCATCTTCAGTCAGACTGTGCTCCTGGCGTTTCCATTCTCTGATTTTGGCAATTCCATAGAAATTTGACTAAAAAGTTTAACAAAATGGGGAAGCAGAAAAACGTGCACAAAACAACACAAATAACGTTAACGTTTCGGGCCGGGCAGCCTTTGTCAAGCTACACAAAAATAACAAATAAAAAATAACATAAAATAATTGGTTGTTATTTTTGTGTAGTTTGACAAAGGCTGCCCGGCCGAAACGTTACGTTATTTGTGTTGTTCTGTGCACGTTTTTCTGCTTCCCCATTTAGTTGAGCTTTTTAGACAAATTTATCTGGAATTCCTTGTATTAGCTTGACTGCAGTCGCCCCCATATTTTCACCATTTCTGATTCTGGCAATGCGTTTATCATTACGAATGGTACTTGGACATCGAAACCCAGCTTTATCTTCAGCCTCTTCCTAATCAGTTTTGACTAGTGAATTCCAGTTCATGCACGAGATAAACTTCTCTTCATGGATGTCGTTTTTGTTTTTTGACCATAATAAAACCAGTCTCGTTTTCTAAAAGACTCTATCTTTAACGTACGGCTCATTCCATGACCTACTCATCTTTTTTGCTACTACACTAATTCTCGTCTCCGTGTTTGCTTGGTCTATCTGTATTTCTTTGATACTTCGGGGACATTGAAATTGCTGCACATGTTCGATGTAGACAAATGTCAGTTTCGCGCCGTTTCAGAACTCCACAAACTGTCTTCTGAAATAACCATAATTGTGGCATTTAGAGCACTGCCGGTGTCTGCTCAACGGATTCGATTACAGCATTTGAGATAAAAAGACCGCCTTCCGATACAGTGGCCTCGCAGTTTACAGAGAAACGTTCAGTTAAAGTTTTCAAGGAATTGCATTTTGGACAAACTTGAAATTTCTGACATGTGTGGTTGCTCTAAGTAAAAGCAATATCTTGTCCTTGTTCTTCTTCTTAGCGTTCACCAGGCTGTAAACTTCCTCTGGTTGTTCGCCCACTTCTGGACATTGGTCTTGTTCTAGAAATTGGGTTTTGAGTGCACGTGGTTTGTACATAACTGGCTTATTTGTATGCAGATTCGGCTCATTGCCTCTCAGGCAGATACACTCCAACTTAAGACCGTAATTAGCCGCATTTTACGACATGCTTTAATGGGGCACAAAGGGGAATACAAAGAGTAAGTAAAGGACTCTTTTCGCGTTCTCGATTAGACAGCATATGGTGCTAGACAGACTCTAAAGGGGATGTCGTTATCACGCCGGCCGCCTATTCTTCACCGACCATTTCCAGGTTCCCATTTTAGCTGCGGTAGAATATGTGTACATGATTTAAGAGGGCATACTAATTTTACCCTTTCAAGCTATGGTCTCCAACCTTTTTTTTTCCCCTTCTCTTGTCTATCTCCCCCCCCCCCCCTCCCCGCACCCTTTTCAACCCCCTGACAATACGCCAACCCCCCCCCCCCCCCAACCCCCTTTTCCTCAAATAGCAAGATGTGATTAAAAAGAGGAATGTATTCTTCATCTATATTAAATTGCAGATTTGATCATATTAATTAGATTTTAAACATCAGTACAAACTGCCTTGGCTTTTTGTTTGATGGTGTCAAAATAATTAAAAATATATATATATATGCACAGGCAAAACACTCAGCTTCTGGTACAGGACTGCAGTCCAGAAGTGGACAAACAACCAGAACCTTCTACCAGAGTTTACAGCTGGTGAACGCAAAGAGGAAGAAGTAGAAGAAAGAACTGCAAAATGCCAACCTGTTGGCCTCTGATCGCACATTAAAGTTTCCTATCAACTGGGTTTCATGGCTAAAAAAAATGAAAAGTGTTAGTTGGGTATCCTTATACAGGACGTTGCAGAACCAACTCCAGCATTTTTTTGGCTGTTGTGGTCCAGTTACGTCAACTAGGTAGCCATTGCTTTCCGGACGGTCGGCTCTCGGTAACACTGTCAAAACCAACGCAAGACAAACCGTCCGCAGCTGCGATCGAACCCGGCACCCTAAGCCACAGACGCCGACTGAAAATGAAAGGTAGTTTAAAAAAAGAAAATGAATGTTAGATCTAACTACGGTAGAGTTGATTCAAAGTCTCAAGGACCGAGGAGATCTCTGGTGCGACATGAATGGCAGGGCACATGATGATGATGACGTTGAAAAGATTACCTGGACATATAGGCAAACTATTTCATGCATCGTTTCATTTAACACGTGTCGATTAACCCCTGCCTATCTTCTTCTTCAGGTTCATGCGTAGCGATCATCTGAGCAAACACGTGAAGACGCACTCTCAGACCGACAAGAAAGATGACAACGATTGCAACGACGACGAGAGCAAAGTGGACACTTGAACCTGCTAAAAGGTCAAGTAGCGGTTCTCAAACTGCAGCTATAGCGTGCTGGCTGTCCCGCCATTCAGGTTATCTTCTGTGTGTAAACTTTCACAGCTAAACTATGACGGTGTTTAGTAACAACGCTTCTCATCAGTAAGGAAGCTTGAACTACACAAAATAAATGGCTGTTTAATTCAGAAACGGGGAATATTCTATGATATTTAGTCACTTTGTAGAGAAACTTTCTGTACATTTACGAGGTTCCGAGGAATTCCTTTTCGTCTTTATCAGGCGAATTATACAGGTTCAGAACCCTGAGTTTCGACACATGCGGCCATGACCTTCTGTGAACTGGCGTGCACTCGTTTTAAAAGCCCCACCCTGGATGTTGCCAGGGGCCGTAATATAACTAAACCAGTGGATTGAACGGGGTTTTTGGGATCTGTCCCGGGAGGTCATCATCAAAATGGTGGCACTTTGTGTTAATCGCTCGTTGTGCGGTCATTGCGGTGTTGGACGCCATCATTTTTACTTATGTTCACTGCTAGGATTTGAATCATAGATATAATTTTTTTTTTTTTATCGGTGAAAAATTATGTGGAAGCTGCAAAGATGGGCGTTTATAAACGAAGAAGAGCACCATAGATAGATTAAAAATAGTAATGCAAATTTTTTCAATGAAAGTATCTCACGAATAGAACCGATCAAGGTTTTTCCGTGAGTCCCTAACAATACAAGAAGGGACACGGTTACGAATATCAGCATTTGAGAGAAAGTTGAAATGATACCGTGCCGGATTTATATTGACAGACAAAGAATGAAACGATTCGGTTATCTGGTGGGAATGGGGCCAGATGAAACTGCGTGTGCGGCTCTTACAGCAGAACATCTGAAAGGAAGACGAAGAAAGAGATAGATGGTGCAGCTAAAACCTGCAAAAAGACGAACAAATCCATCACACAAGCCACATGAGAAGCGCAAGACAAATACAGAAAACCCGGACAGTAGGCTACAATCTAGTGTCAGTGAGATGACAAAGGAAGAAAGAAGAAGAAGACGAGAACTGATTACCCATATGGGTGCTTTATTAATATCCTACCCCAAACATGGGAAATCCACAGGTCACGGTACAGTCTAAATGGCGGGGGTGGTAAATAGGCTGCATGCATTCGTGGGATCTAGCCTGCATGCAGTCGTGGGACCTAGGCTGCACTCTCTGGTGGGATGTAGGTGGGTTGGGGTTAGGGCCAGTTCTAGATGTTTTTGGGTTCGTTAAAAGCGTCAGGAAAGGGGGGGGGGGGAACCAAGTCTTACCGCCCTCTAAAATGTTGGACTGTCCTGTGACGTCATCTGGGGGATAGGATATTAATAAAGAACTCCCATATCAGGAAGAGACAATCTATGTTCTGTAGTCAAATTATCAGAAAGATAAAATGTAAACACATCGTGAAAACGGGGAAATTCAGAGAGGGGTGGCTAAGAGAAAAGGTGCTGCACAGTTTGGCATCATGGCATGGAGGATTATCTGTGTTAGAAATGATCGAAAGGAAGCACACAATACAGAATGTTGTTGCAAACATGGCTAACATCTTCAAAAGGCATGTCCTATAAAAAGAAGCTTACAAATGGACTTCTCTTCGACACATGTTGTGATGGTTATTCACTTCCGAAAGTTCCCACTCAATCAGAACGTAAGTATGCACATAAAACATACATAAATATGTACAAACATTAGTATGTAAATAGATACATAAAAACGTTTACATAAAAATGCATTAATGAGTAGGAAGTAAGTACATAAAAGTGCAAATCAGTGCACAGATAAGTTCAAAGATAAATACATAAATATGCAACCAAGCTGGATATCAAATGACGAGAAAAGATATCTAGGCGTTGCAGTTTACAAATATACATGAATATGTACATAAATAAATATATAAATGGGAGCATAAAAACGTTACAAAATATATATATATATCTTGGTCTGAAATGAGCAGACCGTGAAGGATACAAAGACATTACAGCAGTAATATGTACATATCTATATACATAAGTAAGTACATGAACAATTGTTAAAACCGTGTACTTTAAAGTGCATAAATATGTACTTAATCTGACATGATCAGGTGAGAACAGTCATTAGTTGATGTTCTAACTTTACTGTTTGCGAATCTCCCGATAGCTGTACCGTTCTTATGCCAGTTGAAGTCACACATCTGGAAAACTAATGAGAAGCATATTAGTATAAGCAAAATCGTGAAGCTTGCACACGCAAAATAAAGGCAAAAGGCTGCAGCCGTATGTGCCATGAGAAAAGATAATAAGATATTACAGCACGAAAAAATAGGTACATAAGTCTGATTTTATCAGAAAGGATACCCCGAAATGACAGCATAAATATATACATATATTGCTGGCGTGAGCTGAAGACATATACCATAATGTGCATGCATTGTTAATATGAAATAAAAAGCTAGAACACGGTTATCTGTTTGTGCCTATATCTGTCATGCAGCGGCATTCATTCGTGAACATTAGTGTCAACTGTGGTTTATGGTATGATGTATAATTATGACTGCCACACAATTACTAACTGTTTATGTGTCCATTTTTGAAAGTTCACTGTGGTACCTATAGTTTTGCATTATAGTTTCTATCGTTGATTAATTCGTTGTGGTAGATATAGTTGCACATGACATTGCGTTAAGATATTGTATGTTCCATTTTGTTCTTGTACCTAACTAGACTGTTGTGGTAACCACAATCATACATTCCCCTGTGTTCGTATACTTGAGTGAATTTTGATAGACACAACCGTTACTCTCCTATGTTTCTGTACTTGACTAGTGTGTTGTGGTTGCCACAGCCATACATTACACTATGCTCCTGTACTTGACTAGTGTGTTATGGAAGTGTAACAGGCCCTGGACAGCTGTTATATAAATCTAATCAGGCTTAGAGCGAACGAAAAACCTGGCAAACTTGGAGTAAGGAAGTGATCAAACAGACGTAAGTGGTCAATTCGCCTTCTTAGGCCTCTCTTCTTCGGACGAGTAAGACTTAATTCGGATTTTTCCGTTGCTTTCAATAGTTTAGCGGAACGCGCGTTCAGGTGTGTGGACAGAGTTAGGTTCCATCTGTTGTGGGGTATTTTCGAACACGTTGTGAATTTTAATGCATTGTTATTTGTGAAGAACTTAGCTTATGTTCAGTGAAATAAACAAATGTTGAATGTAGTAATTATAGTTCCATTTGTTTTGTTTCAGATTAGGACTTGTGGTTAGTGTGTCTAGTTTATTTATTGTACTGCTAATCTAGACTGTACACCGAAGATCTCGTGTCTGGGCTAGAATATTTCTGTTTCTGGTCCCCGCCTAACAAACTCTTTTTCTGTATTTTTTCTTGGTACTTAGGGCTTTTCACTTCTAGTACAGTAGCCACAACCATACATTACACTATGCTCCTGTACTTGATTAGTGTGTTGTGGTAGCCATAACCATACATTCCCCTATGTTCTGTACTTGACTAGTGTGTTGTGGTAGAGATAACCATACATTCTCCTATGTTCCTATACTCGACTACTCTGGTTTGCTATTCACAACCACACATTCCCCTATTTTCTGTACTTGACTAGTGTGCTGTGGTTTCCATAATCATATATTCCCCTATTGTCTGTACTTGACTGGTGTGTTTTGGTAGCCATAACCATAAATTCCCCTATGTTCTGTACTTGACTAGTGTGTTGTGGTAGCCATAACCATACATTCCCCTATGTTCTGTACTTGAATACTGCGTAGTGGTAGCCTTAACCATACATTCCCCTATTTTCTGTACTTGACTAGTGTGTTGTGGTAGCCATAACCATACATTCCCTATGTTGGTGTACTTGACTGGTATGTTGTGATAGCCATACCCATACATTCCCCTATGTTCTGTACTTGAATACTGTGTTGAGGTTGCCGTAACCATACACTCCCCTATGTTGTGTACTGGACTAGTGTGCTGTAGGAGCCATAACCGTACATTCCCATATGTTTTGTACGTGGCCTATTATTTGTGGGAGCCATAAACATATATTCCCCTATGTTTATGTACTGGACTAGTGTGTTGTGCTAGCCATAACCATGCATTTCCCTATGTTCTGTGCTTGAATACTGTGTTATGGTAGCCATAACCATACATTTCCCTGTGTTCTGTGCTTGAATACTGTGTTATGGTAGCCATACCCTTACATTCCCCTATGTTCTGTACTTGAATACTGTGTTGTGGTAGCCATACCCTTACATTCCCCTATGTTCTGTACTTGAATACTGTGTTGTGGTAGCCATAACCAGACATTCCCCTGTGTTCATGTACTGGACTAGTGTATTTTGGTCGCCCTATATGTTCTTTTACTTGACTAGAGTGTTGTGGTAGCCACAACTGTACATACATGTGTGGTAATACACGAGTATTTACCCTACATGGACAAAGCATGGGGCAATTTGGCCAGAAACATTATCTTGTCCAGAAAGCTAACGTATGTTGGCATGTTAAACGTCATAGTCTTAGTCTTAGTGGGGGTTTAACTGCAGTCCGGTTTCCCCATTCTTGCTCTGATCCTGTGCCATTGAAAATCAAATGAAACGTCCCTCACTGCCCAGTCTGAAAAACTGGCGAACAATTAGTCCCGGCACAATATAGAAATTTGCGCACGCAGTATAGTATATGCATATTTCAGTTGCTGGAGGCGCCAAAGCCAACTGTCGCCAGAAATGCAGTTTGCCGTTGATAGAAATAGTCGGGAACTACATGTTGGTTTTAAAAGAAGACAAACGTCATGTTATAAAAAGAGGGAAAACTGGGACATGTTGTGATCATTGAAAAAATATGTAGAAACAGAAAAGGATGAAGACAGCGTGAGAAGATTCTTGACAGCTTTCTGTCGCACCATGGAGGAGTGTCCGCATGTGTGCTGACACTTGCTGTTTGAGATTACAAGTTTGTGAGAAGCAATATTGCCGGCGCCAGTCGGCAAG